GAAATTGAGAAGAGGTGCGACTAGAAGATTCTACTCTAGTCGGAATTCGCAGAGTCATTTTCCATGGATACATGAAAGATAATTATGCACACTTCGTGAATAGGTTTCAATACAGAATGATAATTAGTATGACGACCCGTACATGATCATGCAGGTAACTATACTTGACAAAGAAATGTATCGCGTGTGAACTTGAAATAATTTTCAGTTCTCGCTTCATTGGTCTTTTCAAATCGTTGAATTCCACTTCGCCTGCCCAGACTCGACGTCATTACGCCTGCATTATCGCATCACGTGATATTGCAATTTGCTAAACAAAAGATGTATGAAATAACGATTCTTATCGCTCCCTCGACTGAGCGGGCAATTATCGTTATATGGAAATTATCGAGGCGCACTTTTCAGGATCGCAAATTAAATATCAAAGGAATGTGCGAGCGATTCGTCAGGCGGATGTAACTCTCACTACAATAAGAGAAGAACAACTATTTCCAGGAATATGAGATAATAACTATATGAACATCATTATGTCTAATATATTAAATGAGAATCTAGAGATATTGTATCGTTAAAAAATTTGACGTGAATAAAATTGAAATGTTACTAGATATTGAAAAGTATAGGGTTTTAATTGAAATTATAACAGTCGGTCATTATCGAATGGAAATAAATCACTATGTTACGGCTGCGTTCCCCTATTATCGGACTAGCCGCCAAATAAAACCCGAGAGTGTGTCAAAATGAAAAGAAACGAAAATGCGTAGCATCAAGGACTTACAAAGGACTAAAGTCCATGGATATATGGGTGTGGGATAGGTTGATTGGAGGTGGGGAACATAAAACGCTCCCTCGCCTAGAGTGTCGGGCTGCGTGTGGCCAACCACTATTATACGCATATCTCAAAAGGTGAAAAGGAATAGAGGAAATAAAGAAATGACGAGGGGGAGAGAAAAAACGATGGAGATCGCGGAAAATATCCTGGGGGGGCCCCCATGTATCCTCACCCCTGCGGTGTTACTTTACCTTGTATAATGATGATTCATACGACACTGTACTTTGCTGGGTTAATAAGTAGGTGCTCTCGGCCATTTATTACTGAAAATGTCAATGAAAGTTCTTGAGTTTTTTTATAATTCGTTATTTTTGTGGGTTTAAATAAAATTAATTAAGAACTTTTGAACTTTATATTATAACTAAATGAATTACCAATTTTTTAATATCAGGAAGCGAAAACTTGTTCAACTTATAGAAACGTCGTTTCGAAAATTACCCTAGATTATGACAAATGAAAAAAAGTAATTTAAGTGTAAGAAAATGTAATTTCAATGGCATTCTCTCATTGTAAAACTTTCCTGGTTGATTCCCATTCCCTGAAATCAATGTAAATGATTAATAAAAATATCACAAATCATTCTGAAGACGGATATACCTCCGGAAATAATAATGTACGTTAAGATGACAATTCCAAAATCATGTCGATGAAAATGATTTTGTTCTTGAGTGCACAGTTGACAAAAAGATCTCAGGGCGCAGTGGGAAAAGCACACAATTGCATAATCAAGTAAATTATCCACGGTAGACAAAATGATTGAACAGCGGCAATCGATCCCTGATGATTAGCGGATAATATAAAGGAGTAAAATCACGTATGATTGGTATTTCGATTTGCCCCTCTAATGCTTTCTTGGAGATGAGGAGTGAGTGGTCGTCTCCGTCTTACCCGGTCTTCCTGTAAAAATCTCACGAGCAAGTGTGTCGATAGAGCACGATTCCATCTAATTGAAGTAACCACAGGGCGCAACACACTCTGATATATCGAGATATATACCCAAGAGACGCCTCCGTATCTCCTTCCATTCCCGGGCAATCCCATCAAAATGATCAAATGACTGCCTCCCGTCTTCCTATCTTTTTCCCTCTCTTGTTCTCTCAACATTTCCCTCCGCACGTGCCAACCTTTTACGCTTAAATCAACCAAAACCCATGTGGAAATCCATCGCGGCTTCTAACGTCCTCAGGATTGTGAACGAATGATTATATTGGTTTGGATTCGATCTCGCTATTTAATTACAGGATCAACACACCGGCTCCATCCCAATCGAGTTGTAATGAGGATATTCCATTTCCGGTATTAAAGCTACACGTGGAGATCAATTTTTTACTGGAATTGTAGTCTAGAGGTAAAACATGCCAATAAAAAATTGTGACAACTTATCTTTCACGATCTCAGCGCGGAATTCGTATTTTTATCATTCTTCCTTCCTTCCCCTTCCTTTCCTTCAGCTTACGGGAATTATCTGTTGAAAAATAATAATAATGTATGTAATAATATCTTTTGTATGTTAATTGAAAATTTCTTCAATTTATTTATGGAAAAATGATATTTTTGTGAGCTCAATGTATTAGTTATATAGTTTCATTACAAAATGGAAAATAATACATCTCATTTATCAAATACATATATATAGTGGATATATATACTCAAAAATACTGAGTACGGCAATGATAATGAGATTCTTCTTCTTAATAAACAAAAAAAATTGAAATACTACATAAAAAATCGAAGGATTGAATTAAGAAATCATTTAAATTGCGTGACACACATAAGAATTCTTTTCCATCATGAAATAATTACGGAAAATGCGTTCATTTTCTGATGTGTGCAACTTGAAAATTATTTAGATATCATGGAATTGACGGAGGTGTTGTCAATTGAATTCCATTTATTGGGTGATTCGATGAATTTGGGCGGGAGAATGGCAGTTTGCGTTGTAGAAGAAGGGTGATGGATGACACCTGGTGATAAAGGGAGGGCCCTAGGGGGCCCGTAGGAAAGGGCCGATGATGGTTGACACAAGTGATTTTTAGGCGTTGTCCGATGCACGATGGGCGGCCACCGCTCGTCCTGACTGCTGTGCATTTTATCAAGAAGTATCAAAATATGTCTGTGGGTATAACTATGTGGGGTAAAGTGAGTAATGGCGAGAGATCTGTGACTGTGACACTGCGGGATAGCAGTCTCACTCGAGTGTGTTTTTAAGAAAAATGAAAAGATACGCATCACTGGGTATTTCATGGTCATAACGCCCTCATGTCCCTGGATTTTCTTTTATTCAGACAATCACCGATACTGGGATCAGCCCTGTTGACTCTTAGACGATCGCTTTATCGACCTCATGATGTCTATCGCCACAATGGGATACAGTTACCTTTGTTCGGTTATCCATTGCCTGCGGAAATGCTCCTATTTTACCTCGGAAAACCGTTTTAATCGTTTATTTTGACATTATTTACTGCTTCACTATGTAATTTTTTTTTTATTTAAAAACTATGTAAGTTATTGGTACTGCAAAACACGCAGGATTTCGACGTAGGGGAATTTTTTCATGAATTGTTTAATTTTCACATTTTGAAATGAAATTTTTCAATCAAATCGTTGGAAGAAATGAAAATTGAAAATTAAATTCTCCTGTTAATTAAGGGTTTTGACAGTCAAAGGATTATTTTTAAAGGGGTAAATCGATTGTTTTCAGATCACTTATGAAAATTCCAATTTTTCAAGTTTGCGGACACAGAGAAGAATTGTTTATCAAATATTATTATTACAAATACCTTGAAACTTGAACAGTAGAATGTTTCAAAACGGAAAGCAACAAAATCATAATCGCCGAGTTCCATTTAAAATATGTGTGACGGATCTGAATTTTGTGAGGATATTTTCACATCCCCGAAGCATATCAATTAATTATACTGCCCACCGCCCATGGAATCATCATGGAATAACTTATCCCGAGCAATCTCATAAATAATCCCAACAAATTTGATAACTCTTGGCTAATTATGAAACTGATATTATCAGTGGGAGATGTATTGTGAATAGTCCTGGACCTCGGTAGCTCTTGATTATGGCGTCTAGAAGGTTCTCCAGATAATTCAACATCAGATGATCATCAGGCCCGGGCACGTGACAGTTTTTCGTCGATAAAAACTGAGGTCTGGTGCTAAACTCTACGTGGCTCTCAAGATGTTGAAAAAATAAGCCTCTTTAACTGCAGATACGACTGCAGATGAATCCTCATTGACTCACCGCGGGTGTTCGTGTCAGTATCAAAATGTGATCCGGGCACATGGAGATATTGCCTGAAGTGGATTTTTAGAGGATTTTTTTTTAGAGGACTGATCTGGCTGCTCAGCGGGATAGCGTTCGAGGGCTCATTTCCGAATTCCCGGAATCACATCGGGTGGTGTGCGATGATGGCTCGATGACGATGAGTCAATGAGTTAAATAAACCGAGAGTTATTTTTTTTTTCTTCTTTATTATTCACGTCGTAAATTTGGGGGTTTTATTAGTTGTCGAGTCATCGGTATTTCTTCGAAATTCATTGCTGGGGGGAGAGATCATAACGGGATGGCAAATAATTGTTTTTCCTTCATGCCATGGACAATTTTGTTGCCAAATGGTCAGTGGCTATGAAGAGACTGTCAAGAGAAAGATTTTGGTTTTTTTTTTATTTAATTGCGGTAATTTTCAGGAGTTTATTACCCTCGGCCGATTATCTATTGGTAATTGATCAAGTTATTTATTGACGATTATTGAATATTATTGTGCACAATGATTCAGAAATTACAGGCTTTTTCATTAATTATTTATCTATAATGGATTTTTTATATTAAAAAATTAATTTCTTGTAGCCGCTTCTGATTTTTTACATTCCAACTGTCATTTTTCAAAATCTGTCTGTTCGAAAATTATCTCAATGTGCATTCTATCCCAAGTGTCCAATTGATCCCGAAGTTGTTTCCAAAATGAGAAATTCCGAAAATAATTGATTGAATATTTAAAAAAATGATTACCATCGCAACGAAGGAAACCCTAAAAATCCCAAGTCTTGTCCCCGAAGAGGGCATGGTGGCGTCACCTATCAGCTCTTCTCGAAAAATTCATGAAGTAACGCTCGGCAAAGCAGACTTCCATTGCCTTCAACCATCGACTCCAGCTTCTGTCCAATTACAATGACTTCGTGCTCCTGGGGACGCCTCAGTAGATCGAAATCGTGGTTAAACGCTGAAAAAAAATCAACTCCAGACCATGTCACGACGCAATCCAGGGGAGGACTACAGAAAAGGTTTTGTTATTTGCATATGAAAATTACATTACTCAATACATTCGAATAGTATCAATTACCTCGTCCATAATCACCTCCAATATTGAACATTCACAGCTCTCATATTTATATCGTTTACATGCAGTGCCCTACTTTCCTCCGATTGACAAATTTGCTCGTACTAAGAATTCCCAACATAAATTCACGATTTTGAGTGGCAAATATATACATTGATCTCTAAGAAGTCGTAATACACATCTGCATGCATTTTTCGTCCCCTGCAAGGACTAGAAAACCTTTTAATTATATAATAGTCAACAAATACGTGTCATGATGAACCGTTAAGCCTTCACGTAAAGCATCCAAGCGTTAGAAATTCCCAGCCATGAAAAATCCTATAAGTTTAAAACAGGCTGTACAAATATGACTAAATAATAACAAATTCACTCATACTCATGTGGTACAAAAAGTTAAATTGGCTCTTCAATGAACTCTTAGGAAATATCTCTGAAACTAAGGGAAACCTGAAATTTCTGAGAAATCATTTTTTGTAGAGCTTATTCGTTCCTACAAGAAAGGTTGTGACAAAAATTTCGGAATTTTTCATAGTATTAGAGGTATTTCCGAAAATACCGATGGGAGAGGATTTTTAAATAGTATTCTAAGAGTATTCTCTAAAAAATTCGTCAGGTTTTCTCGTAAATTTTTTTATACGTGAATATAAGAGCACATTTCATGATACAGATATGTGTAGCATGCGGCTTGAGATTTTCCGGTTTATAAAATCAGTCTCGTTTAACTTGATCTGAACTTTGCCAGTGTTTGACGTTGTCAGGGTCAAGTACCTACAGAGCGGAGGATAGGAGGGATAAGGATGATGACAGGGACAGATCACCCCTGCGATCAGAGGACAGGAGGGAATCACCCACTTACGGACAGGGAGACTCTAGGAAACAGAAATTAACGTTTGGATTTGGAAAGAAAGTACCGACTGACCAGAAGAAAGGAATACAAATGAAATTGGGAGCAACATCTGTAAGTTCCCTCTAACCTATTCTATTTTAATTGACAATTGTTATGTACGTGTAGTTTTACGCGTGAAAAAATTCAACGGAAAATCTTACGTTTTCTCTAAACATTGGCTTGAATTCAGAGATTCACCTTGTAGCATTCCAATCACCGAGTTAAGAGGAATTATTTTATGATGGCATATTCTGAGTTATTATTATATTTAATTTAATATTGATGATTGTGTTGCAGAAACCAGTGACCAAGCCCGTGGCAAAGCCAACAGTAGCCTCAGTATTCAATGCTGATGACGATGATGAACCTGAGGAGATGCCTGCCGAAGCACGAATGAGAATGAGAAATATTGGACGTGAGACTCCGACCTCAGCTGGGCCCAATTCATTTGGAAAAACTAAACAAGGCTTCTGTGATTCTAAGAAAATATTCGAGAAAACACTTAAAAAGGCGATGGAGGAGGCAAACAAATGATTCTGTTCATGCGATTTTTTTTCTAGTTTTAAGAGATAACTGTACATTCGTTTAATGTAAGAGGTATCATGGGGTAGCGGAGAAATCTCCATGCTGAAGGTTTTTATGATATCCAGAATGTTCTTTTTGCAAATAGCCAAGTCGCTTTGACCTCAGATAAATTTCGATACATCGATCTGGCACAGGGAAAATTGTATCAACTACATGTGTTAATATTGTGGAATTTTAGATCGCATCTTCCCTCAGTGTTTTCTGATATTTTCAACAGAGATATTTCAAATGTAAATGGAAAATGCCGGAGAGCCGATACACTCAGTAATCAGGAATATGACTAATAAAAATTTATTTGTTTCAATTCATTTTTAATAATATTTCTTTTAAACACATTATTATGAAGAAACCACTGACCGTGGTCAATTTGATTAATGAAAATATCGCAATGAATTCTTAGAGTCTCTCTAAATCTGTCTCAACCACATTTACTACTCCCTTTCCAACTCTGACAATTATTCCTTTCAAATAATTCCAATCTTCAAAGGGTGAATACAAAAAAAAAATAATTCTCTCAAACACCCAAACCTGTTTTTATCGATTTTTATTTATTTTGTAATTAAAAATTACACATGAATTACTTCCTGTTTTGCTGGGGTCCCTGGCGCATGTCCTGAAAGGAGGACACGTGAAATGAGTACAAATATTAATTACAAATAAATAAGTAATTGAGAATAGTCACCCTTGGGAAGTTGCGAAGAGGTGGTGTCCTGATACGACGATCAGCCTTGGATCTGTTGCGAACAACTTTGCTGTGGATTGCGCATGATACACAGTAGTGCAATTTTGCGTACAGTTTGGGGAGCTGGTAGGTATCATAGACACTTGCGTCGTTGATGTCTCTTACAGCTGCAGCCTCGACGATGTTGCGGATGACGAATTTTTTGATCGCCTTGTCCTTTGGAACACAACGAGCACAGTTGGTACAACGAACAGGATTCACATGGCCTCGACCATGTTTTGCCCTTCCACCATTCCTTCGCTTTGTCGTCTGGAAAAAAAAATATTATCCGATGAAAATTAGTTCCTCCCTTCATTATCCCAATATATCAAGATAAATAAATAAATAATAAATCTATAATATTTGACAAATTACAAAATTCGTCAAGTTTCTAATTTTTTAATTTGGCAAGCTCTAACGCACTCAACATTTATTGTTACTCGTGCATTCGAGGTTATGTTAACTTCCACCCCCAAAAAAAGTATTTTTCAACCAAACTCTTGGACAATAAATTAAATCATTACGGAAAAAGTAACAATTCCCCATATTTTTTAATAAAAACGTATTATTTTCCATAAAAAATATGAAAAAATGCTCTGGCCACATGGCATCACGGAACGTCACTACTTTTCCTCTAAATATTCCATTATATTCACAAAATCATCACAATTTTCCCCCATCCGCGAATGCAAATTCATTTCAAGCTCAAAAATCGAGAGAAAATACCATTATACTAACGTAAATCGGAAGATATAATTATAAAACTTAGAAAACTTGGTTACCATTTCGCCTCGAGTACCGTGGCGGCCAAGAAAAGAAAGCGGAAGTGCTCGGTACTCCCAACAGTGATTTCTACTCCAAAGTCGAAACACAAATTTTCAAGGATGAATGGAAAATCAAATTTATATAAAAAACATTCGTCAGTTCGTTTTTTATTCTCAGACTTTTTTTTTCATTCAAAAAAGACAGATAAATGCATTCTATTACGATACATTATCTAAAATTGCTACATAAAACATCAGACGTCATCTTGACTCGATTCTGGTGGCAATTTCAAAATTGCCGAGTACGCCGTAAAAATTTTCAAAATCTCCAAAAAACAGGTCTCAAATTTCCAACTTTTTCAGATTACCCCCGATACCAATAAATAACAAATTTAGCAGAAAAGTATTTTTATCCATTTAAACTACGCGAAAAATTCACGAAAAATATTTCCATAAAGCTTTATTTCACGCATAATAATAATAATTTTCGCATAGTTTCTCGTAAGGCATCGAATATCGATGGGAAGCTCTCCGAAGAATATAAAATTTATTTATCATTCCAGGCACTACTCTCGAAAATCCCCCATTAACATTATTAGTATCGGTGCATACGACGAAACTATTGAGAAGTCCAACTTATATTCTATTTCTTAACAGTTCACGAACACGAAAACAATTTTCAGTACCCAATTGTTCATTTCAACTCTCTCGTCTCAGCATCCCATGACGAAAGGCTTTATGGTGCCCTAGTTTTCGTCTGTTCTCGAACTTCAGGGGGCACAAGTCGCACATAAAGTTCCGTTCGCTATCATGACCAGATGCCTGGTGCGTTATCAGGTCATTACGGATTGGAAAACTTGCTCCACACAGATCACAGTGATGCTCCCACCTCTCTGGGGGTGTATGCTGAATTGCTATGTGGTACTTCAATTTAGAGTACCTCCTATGTTTTAAAATTAATTTCTTACATTTAAAATTCCGATTGGCACGAAGTACTTGGATATCATTATTTATTACTTACGAATATTTTTTCCCACAGCTGAGACAAGAAATGATGGATTTTGGATTGGGTAGTATTTTTTCTCTGGGGGGTGCATTGATCTTAGCCAATTGTTGTTTCCAAATAGTTCTGAGAACATAAATCGGTGATAATTGGACAACGTTTCTGTTGAAAATTTTATTTGATTTTTTTAAATGAATGAACCGTTACTTGAGGGCACATGAACGGGCGAAACGAGCGTATGAATGTTCATTTGACACATGGAGATTTCTGAAATCATCGAAACTCAGGTGGAGGTCAGGCTGTTGGCCACTTTCAACTTCCTGGGTATTTTCAATACTCCTGCATGGATGATTGTTCATCTCCGGAGATTTGGGATTGCTATCTCTTGATTTCTCCACTTCGCAAGAATTACAGAGTTGTGCCCGTGCTCGACTTTTATTCTACATAATATCAGGGATAGGCAACATCAATCAATTGAAATAGATTTAATTCATCACTGAATCAAACAGCCACCCTATTATTATTTTCTATACTCAGATAAATTCATTGTTATCTGACGGTCATATTCTGATGAGGAGCTGTCGAAATTCTCAATGTCAAATGTTGGATAATAATAAAAAATAATTTCGAATATTGTATGAGTTCATGTTGTAACAAATTGATGGAATAATTCATAATTTGTAAAATCATCATTAGGCATACCTTATATCTGATAAGACGAAATTCTGAAACGGATGTGGTCCTGCCACATTTCTTACAGGTACGTTTTGGTCCTCGGAAGGGTTTAACGCTCGGATTTATAAATATCGAAGACTGATTTTCATCCTCGAGTTCATCGACGTTTTCCTGGTACCCAGAGGGGCCAGCCTCGTCAATATCGATGGGCTCTAGCTTGCATTGGTGCTCTACAAGGGCATTTGAAAGAACATTATGATTAACATCTTGTCCATTACTCCAACTGACACAGTCATCCATTCGTTCGAGCTTGACTGCAGGTACCCTCAGGAAGATCTCAGAGAAGTCTTTATAGCTAGGAAGATCATTGTACACAGCCTCGGGGAAGTGATAAGTCTCCACTATTATGGGATCCTTGCTAAAGTCTGAGGCATCCTCAGTCGACTTTCTCTCTCTCGATTCATTTTTTTTCCTCGTAGGGCTTGCCATTTGCTTCAACTTTTCTATCCTCAGGGTTGAGGATTTCTCTAGAAGCTCGAGGTTCGCTTTTAGACAGAGAACGTGGAGGTTGTAACTGACCTCTAAGGCATCAAGACATCCTGGACATATGTGATGCGGCAAACCATCACCTGGACGAATCTAATAAACAGAAAGTATTTTGGTAGCTGAAGCCTCGAGAGTCGGCTCATTTCTTAGTGGAGTTTTCAAGGAATATCTTTGAATCTAAGATAGATTGAAATATTTTTCCGCATGCCTCTCTCATAGAGTAGAATAACAGCTGCAAGAAAGGTATTGACAAAGATTTCGCTGTCTCTCTTAGACTCAAGGATATTCCTTTAATATCTCTTCATCAGCTAAACGGCTAAATTAAAAAAGTAATTCTTTAGTTTTTCCCATAGCATAACCTGAAAAGAAAAATTAAAAGATCATCCACGGAACGCAAAGGAATTTTATGCCCAAAAATCCACAAGAATCTCAGCCGACAAAAGGCACTCCCTGAGAGGTTAATTCAAGATACATTTAACAATTTTCAGAGCCAAAGTGAAAATATTTTCCACATACTTGCACCGGTAAACACCTGATCATCCTCACGATATCCTCATCATTTTTCCGGAAAATTGGCGTATAATCAGTGCCTCTTGTAGTGCATAATCTGCACGTCTGTTCCATAGTTGCACGCATTATTAGCACTGGGTCCTCAATTCATGTCATTCAACAGCATTAAATCCGCTGAACCCTCCGGATATCAATCTCAATTTCTATTTTGCCCGAACAATCACAACATCAATGAGAGTAAAACAACAATACACTTTTTAAAAGTTAGCTGATTGATTCTCGTGTTGATCTGCACGATCTCTGAAATTATTTCTAGTACTAAACTGGGCCGCAAGTTGAATAACATTGGGTTCCTTGCCTATTGTTTACATTCGCACGTGTGGGTCCGAGGACAAAGAACTTAATGTTTGTGTGTGACAACTTTCGAAGTTTTTGTAAAGTGCACTGAGTTTTATCATCCGAAGTCGGTAGGAGAAAATGAGAAAAAATTTGAGAATATTGGCGGGCTATGGAGAATCGAATGTGGAGGATCGATTTTATTGACTCACAGTTATGAATCCAGAACCTAGAATTTACGCGGGATCCATAAATTTGATGTTGTTATAATTATATAGACATCATTTTTTATTTAATTACTTACCTATATTGAATTTTCAAATTCAGATGAATAAAAATTAATAATTGGTTAATTTCAAGAATGATTCGAGGAGTAAATTCAGTGTTTTGTGAGTTGTGATGTGTGATAATAGTGCAGGTGACCTATGGTTTCTTCAATATCGATTAGAAATTATTTGAACATCAGTGAGAAAAACTGAATATAGTGAATGTGTCGTTGAGGATTAATTTGATTGATTGGAGTCGTGGACTGCGGTCGAATAACGGACGTAAGGTAAACACATTGAAGAATTTTCTTATTTTTCAATTTTTTTTTTCTGGTATCATTAACGAGACAACTGAGATGTCGATTTTGAAAAATCTCTCACCCATTTCCCAAAAATCATTTGATTTGGATTTTTGATGAGAAATAATTAGTTTATTAAATTAAACAGGACTGTCGTTGATTTGTGACAATTGAAACAGAATAATATCGATTAAGGTATGACATGAAACAGATTATAATCAATGTATTCCAGAATAATCTTTGACAAATGATGATGAAACAATGATATGCGATTATTTACACCAATTTACCGGGATTCCTGAGGCTCTGGGGCAATATGTAAATTCCTCATGTGTTTATCGAGATTGGATTTCTGGCCGAATTTCGAGCCACATATATCGCACAAGTATTTTTTTTCTCCCGTGTGTTTTCTCTTGTGATTCGTTAGTCGAAATTTCTGAGGAAAACGGGCATCACATACTTCACATATGTATTCCCACTCCTCAGGAGGACGATGGCTCATTATGTGGGATTTCATGTGTCTCTTATTGCTGAAAAGAGAATTCCATATTTGAGACACAAAACTATTTAGGGAAATAATTTCGTTTGAAATAATATCAGATGGATGCCTACAGAAATTTTTTTTGGCAATAATCACAGAAAAATCCGTTAGACCCATGTCTCTGTACGTGCGCCCAACGTGCTGCATACGTTCTGTAATTTTAAAAATTGAAAAGAATCCCTTCAATAAGTTCAATTAATGAACGAATCGGATAATCGTAATTACCTGAATTTTTTGTGACAAATGGTACAAGTCTGGGGAGTTTTTCCACTGTGAGTGTTTTTGTGGTCCTCCATGACACTCCGCCTGGTGAACTTCCTGTCGCATTGCGGACAGGAGTACAACCGTTTTATCTTCAACGGTACGCCATGCACGTCCTTCATGTGTTGATTAACGAGTTCAACAGTTTCGAATTTTTTCTTGCAACGCTTACAATGAAGTTTCAAGTGTATTCTTTCATGTGTTTGCTGCAATTCCATAGATGAAAAACGAAATGACATAACATATTGATAACTTTACAATTGTATTAAGCTACCGGTGTACGCAATAACGGCATTACCAAATTCTTCTTGTTGTAGAATTTTTTCTTACACGTCCGACACTCGTATTTCGGGATTTTATCGTGGGCCGATTCAACGTGATTTTTCAACGACGACGCACTGGCGAAGTCTTTTTCACAAAATTTGCATTGATATCGATAGACGAGCGATCGACTGTGCAGCTAAAAGAATTAATCAGTCAATTTAATTAGATATCCACAAAATTTCACGTGAAGTTCAAAGATTCGCACTTATGGAAAGACTTTTCATCCCTTCAACTATCTTTTCCAATAGAACACCCATTAGAATTAATGTTAATAATAAATAGTGTATTACCGAAAATCCTCTACAATTTCGATAGACTTTCAATATCGCCGCATAATTGTACAAAAAATGTTCGTCTATGCCCTTCCATTCTTTCTTCCATTGCCACTAAAAAACGAACTCTTACTCACATAAACATGATCGTAGTAGATCTTCTTATCGACAAACAGCTTCTGACAGTACGCACAGCTCATCTTCTCTATAGCCTCATCCTCCATCATAGCTTGACGATGTTCCTTCTGCAAAAATCACCACCATCAACCCGCGAATTGTTGTCAAACCCAAAAAAAAATGATCCACAATAAATTACATTCAAATGCAGCCTCAGTAGGTTCTTAACACAAAAATTCTCGAGACAGTACTTGCACGTATGTCTGGGCCTCTTACAATTGGCATGAACTTTAAGAGCTCTTATGTCCCACATCATTCTGTTGCAAAGCCTGCAGAAGAACTTGATGGGCCGCCCGGGATGGCTGTTATGAAAATCACGTTTGTGCACACAGAAATCATAAGCTGTGGTGAATTTGTCCTGACACTCTGCACACTCTACGTCGTAGGGTTCGTGCATTTTCATGTGTTCTCTGAGTGATGTCTCCCTGTCCAGGGTAATTCCACATGTCTTACAAATCTCCCGGGTCCTCCTCTCCTTCACGGGCTTTTCCCTCATCTCTTCATCCACCTTTTGCTTCTCCTTCCTGCGTTTTTTGCCGTTCTCAGCTTCCGCAGGAAAAAACTCCTCAGCATCCGAGTGTTCAGAGGCCGAAGTAATTCTCTCCTCCTTGATATCGATTATCCCCTCGTCTATGCAGTTCTCTGGAGCTTCAGTGCACTCCATGTTGTCGTAATGTGTCTTGTGCTTATGCTGGAGAAGTTCCTCTGAGGTCGTGAAGTCAGTCTCACAAAGATTACAGACCCATTTCGAGTGGTGAAACATTTCCATGTGGCTGTCGAAGGCTTCTGCATCCTCGAAACGAATCTCGCAGATGCCACAGATACCTGGATTACCTGCTTCCATCTGCTGGGATTTTAAAGGCATAGAGACAGTTCCTCGTGGCTCCAGGATGAGCCTCTGGGCCCGAGACTCTGACAGTTGCTTTCGGAGCTTTCCATCGGTTTCTATTGCTTGGATTAACAATTTGTAGCTGATGTTTAAGGAACGTAGGCACAGGGGACAAATATGACTAGGAAGGTCATCGTTTGGATTCACCTGGAAATGATTTTTTTCTTTTCTAAAATCCATTAGAAATTGAGTATATTTTCTTGAGAGCAGTTTACAGTGAATATCTCAGAATTGAAGAGAAACAGTGAGACCGTTGCAGATTAATTTTTTATGAAGAGAGATGACAGCCAAAAAAGTATCTATGTAAATATCATTATCTTCATTGAGTTATAAGATATTTTGTTAAAAACTTGTTGAAGGAGAGGTTTGTTAGTAATTCATATTTCGACGTTTTTATGTTATCTCCTCTTCGTGGCATTAGTGATTAATAATCATTGAGTACGATTCATGTAAAATTAGACGAAATTGGGATACATATGCATTTACGACTCACCAGAATTGGTAAACACTTGCTGACTTTTTCGGCTATCTTATTCTTCTCTTCGAACAGTGAACGATAACTCTGACCAGTCTTTAAACATAATCGACAGATTTTTATGGGTTTGCTAGCATCAACTTTCGAGTCCATTTTTCGAAAGGATAAGTTAAATGTTAGAGTTTAGAATTTATTCCTGTCACATTTTTAGAGGTTAGGAAACCCGTGGGTCAATTTCTGGCGCCGATTTTCGAAGGAGCACTAATGGGTCACGTAGAATGTATTTATTTAACTATTTTTCATTTTAAGGATTCAATTTTTGAACCGATAAATTAATTTGAGAGACTTAAACAACAAAGTTGTATCAATTTTATTTTCTCACAGTCACAATTAAACACAGGGAAGACGATCGAACCCAAGTATTTCTCTGTGGCTCTGATTTCTGTGGGCTGTCATGGTTCTTTTACTGGGAAATCGAAATTCACAGATATTGCATGGATATGGATGAATAGCTTTGTGTCTCTCTACGTGACGCTGTAAATTGGAGTGTCTTTGGAATTTCAGATCGCATATTTCACACTGATATCTCCATTCTTCTGGAGGCAAATGCCGAGTGATATGTCTCCTCAAGTTGTTTTTATCCCTAATGGAGGAAAAATTAAAAATTAGAATAGCTAAAGACCTAAAACAACTTTTTTCTTTTTTTATGACGGTAACTATAACTGATCACATACGTGAACTTATGTTTGCAATAATCACAAACGAAACCTTCATTCTTGTGCCTCTGCTCGTGGGCCCATTTTGCCGCATACGTTCTAAACATTCAGACAATTTTTTTTTAAATACAAATTAAAATAATTGGGACTTACGGTTAACTCATGATTAACAGAAAATCATATTGCAAATTCTTCACGAGATAATGTTATTCTTTCGTTTTAAAATGATTAATAATGTTATTATTCTAAATAATAATTATTTATGGAATGACTTTCAACCTGAAAGTCTTCTGGCACATGTCACAAACGTGAGGTCTCGTTCCAGTATGAGTATTTTTGTGATCCTGCAAGAGTCTCAACTTGAGGAACTTTTTGCCACAGATTTTGCAAGAGAATTTCCCGGCATGGGGTACGGAAATATTGTGCTGTTTCAGTAAATGTGTAGCAAGAATTCGAGTGTTATCGAACTTCTCTCCACACTCCTGACACGTCTGATTCGCATGCCTTTTTCTGTGTTCTTGCTGGAACATTACAATTGGAATTTTGAGAACACAAGCGAGTCGACATTTCGTCAATTCCCTGAAGTCCTCACCATACTCCTCGAACCCCAGAAGCGCTTGGAACAAATATCACATATATATTTAAGTTTTTTCTCATGCAACATTTCGATGTGAGACTTCAATATCGTAGAGGTTCGGAATTTTTTGTCGCAGGTGGGACATGTGAATTTGCCTTCATCTATGGCTTGATGGTGCTGTAAAATTTTTATGTTTCCTTCAATACATTCCCTTTTTTTTCATAGAAAATCGAAGACATAAATACATTTTTTCCAGATTAAATTAGAGTTTGCAATTGAATTGGTTCAAAAGATGATCCAAATTTACCCGAATATGGGAATTATAATTAGCTTTTTGCACGTAGCTCTTCCCACACGTCTCACATTCGAACTTCTCCGACTCTGGATCCTTCATCACATCTTCATAATGATTTTTCTGAAATAACAAACGATTGAAAATGAATGCATGTCCTCAAATGAGCACCTAGAAATCTTTCTGGAGAAGACTCTCCGTACATTCTGATGAATCTGCAACTCAGATTTCTTCAAAAATTCCTGGCCACAATACTTGCATTTCTGCTTAATTTTCGCGCAAAACTTGTGTCGTCTCAGAAACTGAACACTCGCTGTAAATCTCTCGCACTTCTCGCAGAACCACTTCATCTTCTGATCAATAAAAACTTTATGTACATTTTGCTTATGAATGAAAAGATCATAGGGGGATGAGAACTCTCGGAAGCAAGTTTGACAAGAAATCTGTCTTGGCTCATGCATTTTGACGTGAAGCGACATCAATTCCTCCGTTGCGATTTCTACACCACAGACTGTGCAAACAATATTTTTCCTTTTTGATGATTGTGCATGTACCTCAATGCCCTGAGAATTCTGTGGGTCTTCATCTTTGATGTCAATGGCCTCATTAACATTGACGTAATGATCTGAAATATTCGCCGAGCCATCGGACTCTTCTGCTTCTCCTTGATCATCAGTCGTAGCTTTTTCAGGAGAATGAACATCATCTTCTTTAGGAAGATCAGTCTCAGTTTCTTTATTCTGATCAACAATTCCATAATGTTCTTTATATTTATGTCGAAGTAGATCCTCCGACGTTTGGCAATCTTCATAACAAAGATTACAAATCCATTGTGAAGAGTGCGATGCCGTCATGTGATCATCGAAATCAGTCATGCTATAAAAATTGATCTCACATATACCACAATACAGTCGCTCAGTCGTGTCAATTTGCTGAGAGTCATCATCCACATCTTTCTCCTGTTTAATATTATCAATTAAGATTAATTTCAACTGCTGTCTCAATAACTCATCAGCCACCAGAGACTGTGCTCTTAATTTATCGCTTATGTCCAGAGCCTCCAGACATGCAGAGCAAATGTGAGACGGCAATTTATCATTTTGTCTAATCTGCGATTGAGTAGAAATTTTCAACGTCATTCGCAATTTGTTGATGAATAAATTGAGGCATAGAATTTCGGCGTAAAACTCACCTCTATTGGTAAACAGTTGTTGATTTTCACAGCTATTGAATTGGATTCCAAATCGAAAATTGAATGATATCGCTTTCCCCGATTTGCGCATAATCTACACACATCTTCAGTGATGTTTGAATCCATTTTTTTACAATAAATAAATAATACTGACTTTATCCTTATTCTGTGTGGATCACTCAGTGTTTATTCCGATGTTTACAATTAAGGTTATCACGTCATATTTATCGAGTCTGTGCAGTGCGCACAGCATTGTTTCCAACAGCTGTTCGTTTTTTGTATACCATAGCTACAGCTCTCATCAGCTCCATTTAAAAATCAAAATAGTGCGATCTCAATGTAAACAAATGGAGACAGCGATGGCGGAATGTGCGACTGGATACATCACTATTTTATGACAATTCGTATGGATTTCAGTATCTGTAGACCATGTGCTGCGAAGGAATATACTCTGAAGAAAAGAAGATTGCAAATACAGCGTTCATATTTCCATTCAAATATAGGTAGCTTTAATTCGCATAACACCTGCATCGGTGGTCTAGGGGTATGATACTCGCCTGCCACGCGGGTGACCCGGGTTCAAGTCCCGGCCGATGCAATAATTTTTTCTTTCTTTACAACAAAATGAGAAACGACTAATTTTTCTTTTCAAGGCCATCCCATAATTCTATTCGAGTATATCAACCAATCTGATCACAGTCATCGTCCATTCGTATCCCTTGAACTTTTTATCATTTAACCATTTAATCTTTGATAGTTCATAATAGTTTATTAATTGATGAAACAATATGCTCTACTATTCAGAAATCTATATTTGCTATTTTGATTATAAGGTACCGTATCATAAATTTGACATTTTTGATGATGGAACGGTAAATTTAAATAGCGTGAGCTTTGATCCAGTCGAGGAATTTGGGAACTCTTGTGTAAACTGTCGGGTAATCGATTCGAGCACATCCCATGGCCCAGGATACGAGACCAACCAGTCTGCCCCGCACCGTCAAGGGACCGCCAGAGTCGCCCTAGATAAATAATTTCGTTAATTTCAATTTTCTGTCGCGTAGATGATAACAAAGCTCTTTAAATATCCGAAAAATATGCAAACACATTTTTTTCAAGTGTTTTTTTTTTCAAAATGGAAGAGCTGTGAAATTGACTCTGAGACTCACATTGCACGAGCCTGTTTCTTCAACGGGGTCATGAGCACAAATCTGAGTGTCATGGACAGTATTCCCTGGAGCATATCTCCCTTTGCAATAGTTTTGGTCAGCAATGAGAATTTCAGCTCTCTGGAGGTGATCTGGGCTGGTACCCCCTTGCTAAAATAACAATCGGAAACGGAAATTTCATTTTACAATATAATAATCACAATACATTAGGAAATTGTTAGTGAAATATCGCATTTCATGATTTTATTTCCCCTTCCATTGAATGAAACATTAAACCGTTTTCTCTATTCATCAATTTTTTTTTAACTTATCGTTTTAGAAGATTAATTATTAATAATTACCCTGAGATTTCCCCATCCTGATACGACGGCAGTTGAATCAGCAGGGATGACCATTCCAGCAGTGGGCATAGGAACGAAATTCAACGTCGCAGTGACGATGAATTCGCTTTCCACCTGGAATATAATTTCCATTGCACAGGAATTGTAAATTATATGATAAAAACAAATAGCAATGATTGATCGATATCATCTCCGAATACCCTTAGGAGTGCGATGTCATTTCTCCAGGAGTCAGACGCATCGTATCCTTCGTGAACGATAATTTTTTCCACCAAGTGAGTTTGAACTGGGGCCGATAGTTTAAGTGTTGCGGAAACCACTTTGATCGAAGATGCAGATGTCCTGGGATTTATTCCATGAAAATGCAAATGAAAATGGAAACAAATAAAATTATTCGGCAAATTGAATTATTTCATTTATTATCATAAATGCATCAAGTTTTAACCTTCTCGGGCAATAATTTTCAATGCTTACCCTACAACACAGTGAGCAGCTGTGATGACATATTTTTTGTTGAGTATAGAGCCACCACAAAAATGAAAGCTACTCGCCACTTGTTGAAGGGAAACCTAATGATTCCAAATCCTAAATATTATTGCGCTTTTAATAGTTCCGGATAAACTTACCTGATAAGGAATTTCTCCCACTTCTGCATCCACGCCGTTTACGATACGCGATGGTCCGAAAAATTCTGGTACAATCCGTGCTTAAAGAATAATTAAAATTAGGAAATAAAATTCTCATATTCTCCGAAAATTGTGAATTACCTGAATATTAAAAAAATTAACAGCCAATGAAAAGTACTACAAAAATATAATATCAATTTCTCATTTTTTACTTGAAATTTCAAGTAAAATTTTCCAACAGGGCTGGATTTGCGTAAACAATTCTATTTATATTGAATTTCGATTTTATTTTATTTATCCATATTGAATATTGAGGAAATAAAATTTACCATGAGAAAGTGCACCGAATGCAATGAGTATCAAGAGTGTCTTCATGATTGATCCACAAAATATTGTCCGCTCTGTCGATTAAATTGTCATTGCATTTATATACCAGTGTTAACAATTTTGATATGTCATTTCCACGCTGGGAAATCAGATCGCTCCTGAGATAACGGGAGTCACATGTGAAAAGATGAAATGCGGAAATAGATAATCGTTTAGTACGAATGATCGATCGGCATCCCTACCATCTAACAATGGAAACAATAGTCGTTTCCCTCATTTTCATTTCTTATCACTAGCAATGAACGATAATGAATGACTGATTCAAAAGTATTCGCTGGTCTCGGGAATTCTATTATTTATTGTCATTATCATTCTGTTATTATCGTCTGGTCAAAAAACTCGTTTAGAATTTCAGAATAAGTTTTTTATCGAAACATTCTTCATAACAATTTTTATCGCTAATTTCGTACATAAATGGAGCATTGTATTCATTAAAATAAATATGAATTCATGAATTTAAACAGCATTAGTTTCGATCCAGTCGATGTACTCAGGAACTCTGGTGTAAACTGTTGGATAATCTGATAGAGCGCAGTGATAAGACCATGAAACGATACCAATCAGGACTCCATCGACAAGCATGGGACCACCAGAATCTCCCTAGAACAGATAGAATACTTCATAATTACGAACTAGTTAATAATATATTCTGGTACAATTCAAAACAAGGGTGAGCTGCCCTTTCATTACATCTAAGAGTAGATACTTAGTTTATTTACTTATTTTTATGTGTCAGACTTACGTGACAAGAACCTTTCACTTCTGTTGGATCATTCGCGCAAATAGCAGTATCGTGCACAACTTCAAATACTGAAGCATATTTTATTTTACAGTACTCTTGATCGCTAATGAAAATTTCAGCCTTCTGAAGATGATTAGCGCCGAACCCTCCTTCCTGCGAAAAATCATGACAAACTGTTACCAGAGGCTTCTAGACTAATTTCTACTTGGAAATAAATAATTTAGTGTAACTCATTACCCTCCGACTCCCCCAACCCGATATTATGGCAGAGGAATTCACCGGAATCGTGGTGTGAGCATCAGGAAGTTGAATGAAATCTACCGTCGAATTGACGACGAATTTCCCCTTCACCTGGAATATACTTTTCATTTGAGTACATTGAAAGTGATTTTTTTCGCATTTTCCTGTAGCTATCAATTCGAGAAATATTCTGTAAGAGTTCGGGAGTCTTTAGATTCCTTTCTTCTGGTAAAAACTCCGTGAAGAAATTCCGAAAAATGTTGAAGATCATTTCATAGCAATAATTATCCGCAATTCATGAGTATGTATTCAATTTTCCGTCCCTACGGTATTGAAGTCTCGATTGGCTAATCAAAAGTATGGATATCAGTATTGGATACCTTGACAAGTGCAATGTCGTTCCTCCAGGAATCATACCGGTCGTATCTTTCATGAACAATAACTTTTTCCACCAAGTGAGTCTGAACTGGAGCGGATAATTTAACTGTTGAGGAGATGACTTTTATTGAAGCTGCCAATTCGCTGGAAATTGGAGAAAAATAGAGGGACAACTTAATTATAAATTTTGCAAATTATTTAAAACTGCAAATCCAAATATCCTTATTATCACTTACTCAGCAACGCAGTGAGCCGCCGTGATAACGTAATTCTCGGAGATGATAGAACCCCCACAGAAATGGAAGCTGCTACTCACAGTTTGCAGAGAAACCTGAAAAAATGAGAGATGATTCGATTTTTTAAAGTTACTTGACACTTGAAAAATGACTGACATTTTCTGATGATTATTTCTCTTCAACCATTTCCTTTATGGCTATTTACATTATATTTACATTATTAGAAATTAAAAAAACGTTAAAAAACTGATTAAATAAAAAAAATTTGGATACTGATTGTTTGTAACAAAAGCACTTGAATTATTTCATTTAATTCTACGTATAAAGAAGAAATAAATGGAAAGAAGATTTCTCCATTTTATACTTAATCGTCTCTAGATTTTAACGTCAGTACGGCGTTTTTATAGTTTCAGTCATTTTGCTTGCATTTCAAGAGTCTCCCCAAAAAATTTATGTTAATTGTTATTACTTGATACGGAAATTCACCGACTGCTGCATTCTCTCCATTTATGATGCGTGCTCCTGCCGCAGGTACCGAACGGGCTGGAAGAACAATTTAACGAAAAAAGAAATTGATTCTCTCGATTCTCACTTATGAATGAAATAAATTACCTTGGGAGAGCCCGAGCAGGGTGATAAGTACTAACAGAAACTCCATGATGGATCCTCAGTAGGGAATACTAGTTAATTGATAATTGGCCTTTATATACTGGCGGCCCAGATAATAGTTTGTCAAATCTTTCGGCGAAATCAAACTTCACAGACAAATAGATAACACGAGCATTAGTGCTGAAGAGATTAGCTGATTGTCCCGATATCCAAAGGGCACTCAGGGATTTAATTACAAAATAAAGAAGACGCAATTAATTTGTGATTAATTCGCATTCTTCTGTAATATGATACAATGAAAATTGAAATTGAAATTAAAAAAGGGAAATGATGTAGAAAATCGAAAAGTTATTGCAATAGCCCATTTCGTTATCTAGTTATAGAATGATGTCCTCCGACGCGGACTGTCACGTGTGATGCAGTATTTTTACATTTTGGTTCTTGAAAACAAAATTTACCATTTTCATGAATTAACAACTGGGAAATGTATTTTTTTCGAGCAAGTTTGGCTTATTATGATTTACAACTTGGACTTATAATTGAAATAATAAAGAAGCTCTTCATGAGGTCTTCCTCATTAGAAGACGAACCGTTGAAGTTACAGAGTTCATCGGCTTCAATTTCTTTCGTACTGTTTTAAATCTGCTAAAGATCGTTTAGTTTAACCGAGTGTAATTCGATTTTTGAGTAAAATAATTATAACTACGTATCATGGAATTTATTAGATATCAATGGAGTACTCGAAGTTAAAGTAAGCAGAGGCGTATTGACCCGATTAGATACAAATCGTTTGGAAGGAAATTTGATCGGCTATCTGACGAAATTCCCAGTATCGATATCTGGATTGAGCGGAACTTCGTCAGCATTACAGAAAAGTGGTGTTTTATAAATATTAATTTACTTGAGAGTAGTCTTTGTTTTGAAAAATCTCTCCATTCAAGAATTTCGTTGTATCAGTTTGAATTTCAGAGGATTCATTGACGATTCGCCCAGCGATAAATGTACTTGAAAAATTATAAATTGCAGATGCACATCAGGTATACGAAATCATTGCAGAATTGGTAATGCCATCACATGAATGATTTCGCGTGCTGAGAGATGTTTGATGAACAAATCAACTAAAGAATGAAACAAAGGGTGATGAATAAATGCACAATATCTATTTTCTATTCAATCATCATCGCAGGAGACCTTGAAATATTTGCAAATTAAATTTCATTAAACATGCGCCTCGAATTCGCAGAATTTTGCTTGAAATCGTGATGGTGGATTAGAAACTGAGAGTAACAGCTTGCTTGTAAAATTTTATTCTATATTCTGAGTTTTTGCATTTATCTCATTACCGCCAGTGAATCTCACGAGCATCTAGTGTATGCATTAGCTTCCGGTAATTGTTACTATTATTCATTTCAATTATTTGCTTACACAAAATTCTGCCGAATTTTTCATTTATTGTCATCCCCCGAAGAGTTGAACGTTTTGAACGTTTTACTGAGAGTATAAAGTTTTTTTTCTCCTATGAAACATTCTCTGATCAAAAAATAGTAAAAGCTGCATAAAATTTGCGTATTGCTCCCTTAATTACGCAAGCGGAATAAAGAAAATTATGAATGGCTGTAGAAACCGTTGCCCTAGCCACGCGCATTTTTCCGCTAACGATTCAGAGACTAATTCACTTACAAACAACAGAAAAACTGGGGACACGTGAATTTTTAATCACCTCTACCTCCCCTCCTCGAATCTCCCATTTTCGCTCGTTGTTTTTTCTACCTCCTCTCCTGAATTGTTACTATAAGTTCAGATTGATCTCTGCGACCATCCGGTATAGAACATTGCGCATAAATTCGCTTCTGCAAAAACAGATTGACGAACGATTGATTTATAATTATTAATCATTACTGAGAGATCTTTCAATCGAATTTGGAGCGAAAATACTGAAGTTCACCAATCACACTGCTGCAATTGCAATCCAACTCTCTTATTACTTGATCTTTCATGGGAAAGGGCATTTGAAGTCCTTTTGATATTCAGTGCAGTGTGAGAAAATTATCATAATCGGAAATGTATAAACTTCCGGTGGCCGTGATTGTATTTTTAATTAGTTGTAATTCACCCGTAATAACACAGAGAAGTGCTTTAGATAATTTTTTCTCGATTTCAATGCTTCGAAGCTTCAAGGAGTGGCTATCCAGTTCAATTGGTAAGAGATGGAAAAACCTCCTAAAGACAGAAATTATCATATTTTTGTGGAATTTGAATTTTTTTATCCTGGAATATTACAAATTCCAATAAAATATTTTGTCTTTTATGAAATTAACAATATTTATTAGAGAATACCTTCATTAAAGGGACACATAAATAGATGAATTAAAAAAATATTTCAATGTTTAAGGTAATACTGGTGATCCAAATGGGGTCGCATATCGAGCAGCGCAAAAACTCCAGAGGGTTCAAACTCCTCTTTCGGAAGACATTCCCTTTCCTTGTAATATAACTGGTAATGAGCCGATAATTATCCTAGATTGACAATCAGTTTTAATAAGTGTCCTTCGGAAGAAAATTGAAAACCCGAGAGTGGGAAAGTGATTAGTCGAGAATATTGACCGGAATTCCAGAATATTTATTGTATTTTATATTATAATGGATTTTTCCGAAGGTCTCTTGCGGTACTGTACTAAAATTCGAACACTGATTGTGAACAATTATTATAATTCGGTTCAATATTCTGCGGCTTGACTGCATCGATGACTAAAAAATTTTTTCGAATCTCTCAAGACTCAGATATATCGAAATTTCCATTTGTTATCACCAAAGAATTTATACTAAATTACGATTGACAGCCGGACGCTCAAAAAGCGTACCTACGTCAGTCCACAAATTGAGACCAGGAGATATTGACGTCATCGGTGCAATGGGGGATTCACTGACAGCAGGATTCGGACTTTTCGGTTCAGATATTCACACTATGTTCGTTGAAAATCGAGGTGCTACTGCACTGGGTGGTGGACAAGGTACCTGGCGAGATACTTTGACTGTTCCCAATATCCTCAAAGTCTTCAATCCGAAACTTGTTGGATACTGCAAGTCAGATGCCTGGACTCATCAGGCGAAGTCCGAGTTCAATGTAGCCGAAAGTGGCAGCATGTCAGAGGATATGCCTTTCATGGCTGAAACTTTGATTAAAAGAATAAAAAATGATGCGCGAGTCGACATAAAAAATCACTGGAAAGTAAGTTGTGCGAATTTGCATCTACCTCACCAGATTAATATATTAATCACTTAACATAAATGAATACCCACGACATGGAAAGAGTTTGGAAACGACAAGGAATTTTCTGCTGATATGTGGAAATTCTTGTAGCTCGTGAACATCTTCTTGGGTGCTAACGATTTTTGCTCTGATATGTGTTGGAATCCATCGGCTCAGGCGACCGTGGAAAATCATAGAAGGGATTTGGTTAAAACTCTGCGATTACTCAGGGATAATTTACCGAGGACTTTAGTATCTGTCGTATCAACTCCTCATATCAAGCCTGTTGCGGAGATGCAGGGACGATCCATGCTTTGTACATTAACATTTATTATAGAGTGTGCATGCCTTACTGGGGCCAAGTGGAAAGATCGGAAACAAGAATTTTATGACATCATGTGGAGGTATGCACCCAATTTCCGTCTAATTTGTAAGTTGTCTAAAATTTTTGTACCGTTTCAATGAAATTCCTGGCAGTTTCCAACAAGTTGACGAGGATGTAGCAAACGATGCTGAATTTCAACGAGAAGATTTCGCTGTGGTTTCTCAACCATTTTTTGTGAATTATACTTGGCCTACTCTGCCTGACGGAACATCGGATTTTCGGTACATGTCGACCGACTGTTTCCATTTCAGCCAACTCGGCAATGCAAGGAGTGAGTACAATTTTCAGTCATTCGGATCGAAATTGTTATCGTAAGTTAACATCAATAAAGAAATATTCTCTTTCTGTATGTTCAATTTTATTTTCAGTGGCTTACGCGACCTGGAGAAACATGCTAGAGCCGGTGGGGGCAAAGTCTCACTTCTGGAGTGATGTCGGAACTTTACCTTGTCCCTCAGAAGAGCGGCCCTACATTGCAACCCTGTGGAACAGTTGAAAGCTCACAAATTTCTGATATAATTCTCTCGAATTCTATTTTTGTTATACAAAAATAATAATAAATACAACGATCTGAGTGATAATTAGTCATAATTACATTGCAGGAACAAGCACCCAAAATTGTTTCTTCAGATTATTCTGCAATTTGAAAAGTTTGTTCCCTAGTTCATAAAATACCACAATGTCCTCTTTCAGTAAAAATTTTATTGGTTTTTTGTTTCTCTCTGCGTTAATGATCATTCGCTTCTCAATAAAGTTAAACCAATCAAGCAATTCAGAACTTCCGAGTACGGAAACGAATACATTTTCATCAATACTTAATTTCAAGTTATTGTTAGATTGTAATTTCTTTATGATATACATCTATATAAATCCATTTATAGCTGAAATGAATAATGACATCATTAATTAAAGAATAAACTGATTGTGTTGGGCTGTACACGTTGAATATTTTGGAGTTAAATCTTTATCTGAATTTCCTTGGCTCAAGGTTGAGCGTGACAGCGTTTCTTGTGCACCAAAAGAAACTTGTCTTTGAGGAATCGTGCATCGCACAAGTCACACTGATAGGGTCGAGTGTCGTTATGTTTCTTTGAATGAGTCTCTAAATGGCATTTCCTCTGGAATTTTTGATTGCAGATCTTACACTCGTAGTTCCAGTCTTCGGGTGGCATGTGACAGGCCAAATGCCTTCGAACGTGACCTTTTGTTCTAGAAACCAAAACATGAATTTTAAATGAATTATTGTTTTACTTTTTTTATGTTTCCTCGATAGGAAGATCAGTACTCACGAGAATTTTCGCTTGCAATGATCGCAATAAAATGCGCCATTCTTATGTTTCTGCACGTGGGACCATCGGGCTGCATATGTCCTGTACATAAACCGAAGCAACACTTCAGATTAGAACATCTCGTCCGAAGAAACATGAGAAGAAACGGATTGATTACCTGAAAGTCTCTTTACAAATATCACAAACATGTGGTCGTTTCCCCGAATGAATATTTCTGTGATCCTTCAGTAGACGTAATTTTGGGAATCTCTTGCCACACTCTTTGCAACTGTGCTTCCCTGTGGCGGGAACAGAAATACTGTGAACCTCCAGTAAGTGTTTATTGAGGATTCGGATATTTTCGAACTGCTCTCCACATTGCTGACATGTCTGGCTTATATGCCTCTGCTCATGGGCTTTCTGTGAAAGTTCATGTTCAAAATCAATCTCCATTTTTATTTATACATCGTAGAAAAGTAATATCGATTTCAGTTTCCAATTTTCGGTCATAAAAATTCTGTACAAATTTGTTTTATAAAAAAACAGTACTTAGGGCAGATAATATAAACTGAATCATGAATATCTTTGAAAATATTGACTTCGTTCTTACCAGACTTCGACTGCTCGTGAAACCTTTTTCACAGCTGCTGCACTTGTAATCTCTTCGTCTTACATGTATGTCATCAATGTGATGCTTCAACTGAGTTGGACTCAAAAAAGATCCATCGCATTTTTCACAGCCATACTTTCTCTCCATCCTCACACGATGCACCTAGAAAAACATAAATCTCAAAAAGGTTCTCGCTAGTTCAAGAAATTACGGGTTCGCGAATATTTACCCGTAGGTGACACCCATACGAGTCTTTCTCAATGAAGACCTTGCCGCATGTCGGACATTTGAACTTCTCGACGTCGGGGTCGGTGGTCATTATTTCCGAATGATTCTTCTGTGGAATAACGAGTTTTCAAAAATGTTAAGGGAAACATAATTAATGTTGATAATAATATGATACCAAGCTCGTTTAACAAAATTTCGATAGATTCGATAAATTTACACCAAAGAACTCAGAGAATTTCAATTGAAGATTCAAACCGCGTACTCACTCTCTGATGAATACTGAATTCCTTGTGCCTATTGAACTCCACTTCGCAGTATTTACACTTGAACCTGGTTTTCCCGCATTTTTGGTGCTTCTTTATAAACCTAGTATTAGAGCCGAACCTTCCGCACTTCTCGCAGAACCACTTCATCTTTTGGTCCACGAAACCCTTGTGTACATTTTGCTTATGAAGAAAGAGTTCATAAGGCGATTGGAAGAAACGAGAGCATGAAGAGCAGTGCATTGAACGCGGTTCGTGAAATTTAATGTGCATAGCCATGAAACTCTCAGTCTCAATGATCACCCCACATATATCACAGGGGATGTCCTTCTTTTCTGGATTAATTCGGCAGCTCAGCGGTATGTCTTCATCCTTAATATCAATAGTTTCATCTCTGTCTGACGGATCCTCCGAAACATCGGAATTAAAATGCTTTACGTTTTTCAGGTGATCACTGCTGTCATAGTGTTTCGCATGCTTGTGTTGAAGAAGATTATCTGACGTTTTCAGGTCCATTCCGCACAAATTGCAGACCCATTGAGATGCGTGGTATTTCTCCATGTGGTTGTCGAAAGCTTCTGCATCCTCGAAAATAGACTCACAAATGCCACATAATAAACTTTTAGTGTTAATATCTTCGTTTTCACTCTCGAATTTGTCCTCTTGTTTGATACTTTCAACCAGAATTAGGGTCATCTGCTGTCGCAGAAAACCATCTGCTTCCAGCGATCGCTCTCTGAGCTTGTAGCTTGTGTTCAGATCGTTTAAACACGCTGGACAGATGTGCAATGGTAAACCATCATCTGCACTTATCTATCAGAAAAAAATGCGTACAAATAGATGGAGGACTATTAAATTAAAGAGCCGAAATTTAAAATCCATCAAAAACATAATGATTAGTTAAAAATACGAAGGAGAGAGAATTAGAGCGGAAAAAAAAATAATGTGGTATTACGATATTATAATAAACCTCGAATACCTGAGAAGATTAACTCACCACTATTGGCAAACAATTATTGATCTTATCGGCGATGGAATGCGAATTGAGCGCAAAAATTGCATGATAATTTTCTCCACGATCGGTACATAATCTACATGTAGTTTCCACAGTAGCTAAATCCATGCCGTCCATGGTGCAGTGCTCATTGACCTTATCAGGCCCTTGTGTTGTAATTTTTATTATTCTGAGAGGAATACAAGGGGCGGGGGGGTGATTGAGGTTATATCGTACTGATTACACACGATCCACAGTATTGACTTAAATACAGGCGACTTGAGGCCAAATTTTCCGAGTTATATCTGTAAATTTGGGGCCAACTTTTCGTTAAATTAATCGTTTCTAACTCGTAGTTACAGTTAAATCGAGTGCGCCTACTATGCTCCCGCGTCCGGGGGATGATTTTTCCTACTGCCAGAATGAATATGAAAATCTAACCTGTTTCTCTCGTAAACATTGGGGCTGCCATTTTTACCTCTGTACCCAAAGAGAATTGACTAAAGTAGAGGCTCAGTTCTAGGGGTTTGAGTGACCCCAGCGGCATCGTAGTAGCCGACCCCATAAGAGGGAGGGCGCCACACCCAACGAATTTTCAGTAATATCCCTCCAGCTTCCCTTTTAATAACTCTGAGCTGACTGGAATTTTTGACGAGCTGATTTCAAAGCCTCCGACTGCTAATTATTTGTGTTTCAACGAATTAATGGTTATTAAAAATATCTTCACAAATTTGTCAGTGATGTTTACTTGATTTACTTCAATAATAATTTAATATCG